CATCACTGCCACCGCTCATTTATAACTTATTAAGCACGTGTTCCATTTCTTGTAAAGCGTTTACACCTTTTTCACATTACTGTTTCTCTTGTGTTTGACTCCAGAAACACTCAGGCTTTATATGTATTTTTAAGCTGTATTGAGAAACACAGGAGGCCTGTTGTTGGTTTAGGATTCTCAGGAAAGGTTTCAGTGGGAGAGCACGGAAGCCAGAGGGGTACAGACTGAGCTGCAGAATGGAAAATGGGAAGCGGCAGTGGTCCGATGATAAAGAGCCCTTTTTTTCCCGCAAAAACCAACAGCCAGACAACTCTCGCCATTGTCATTGCAAGTGTAAAATGTGTTCCAACCCTGCGTATAATCCCTTCCAGCTGCTTGCAGAGTTGTACTGTGTGTGATCGAGAAATTGTCTGTGTTGTCGGTGAGTTCAAGCCCACAGATGACACCAGCGATGGGTCTGATCCTAATGGGCATGGCTGTGGCCTGGCATTGGCCCCCTGACCAGATACCCGGGGAGATGTCTCGCCAAAAAGAAAAAAAATAGTTGACAAGCCTTATAACGGCAAAACCGCTTAACAAAAGACAAAGTGTGCATTTTGCGTTGCAGGCAAGGTCTTTTGTGTGTCAAAATATCTTTGCTGACAGTGTGTGTGGCCCTCTTCAGAACAATCGAGATGCTTTTCTGATCTTCAACAGTATACACAGCAGATAACCGGGATGCACAGAACAGATGCGACAAATGAGCGAGAAACAAAAATGCTTCTTGCTGGAAAAAATAAACACAACCACAGCGCAGTTTGCGAGTGCGTCTGGATGTTCGAGACAGAGCTCAAGGGGAAGAAGTGTTGTTTGAGATGTGAGAATTGGCTGATGATAAAGGACTGTCTCTCTCTTTACATGTGGTTTGGCTTTTGGGAGGATGTAGGATTCCAGAAAGAATGGGAATTTTGTTCATCCCGTCTTCTGCTTTCATCATGTTGTCATTTACGTCTTTGATGTAGAGGATTGTTAAGGCTCATTGTTTTTTGGTTTTCAGAGATTTTTATTGAAAGTTACATATGTTCTAATAAGGACCAGAGTGGTTTAATCAGATTTCCACCTGGATTTTATGTTTCCGTGCATCTAAAAGTTGTGTTTCTTGCTTACCGAAGACACTGATAGTTGTAGTGTATGGTACACAAGGTCTTCTTGTTTTTGTTTTTTTAACCAACTTTTCAACCACATTTCTATGATTTGCTTTGCGTATTTCATGAGATTATATATGTACACGGAAGATCTGTAGGAAGAACAAAACTTGCAGCAATGCAAAGTTTATGTGGTCACAGGTGTGTGAGACTACAGTGAGTTTGTGTGCGTGTCCATGCCTATGTGTTTAGGTGTGTGTGCGGTTAGCATAGGCAGGGGTCTTGTACTGGCCTCTGGGTGGTTAAGTAGGGAAGAGGCTGAGCTGTGACCTCGTTCCAGTCAACTGCTCATGAAAACAGCAAGTCAGCCGAGTGTTAAGAGCAAGTGGCATGCGCCGTCTGACTCAGATCACGTCTCATAAGAAGTGCCGCGCCTCACAACCACAGGGCCCTGCCACCATCTTTAACCTCTCACATCAAACTGCCGCTCTCCACCCTAACTGAGCAACAGTCAGCAGCCTCTACAGACCTCAGTTATGCAAAAGTTCACGGTTAATGGCTCAAGTCCTTAGACATGAGTACCTGTCAGATTTAGAGCTGGATAGCATTTGAAATGTGAAATCAAACAGTTTGGTAGAATAACCAAAGCAATACTGTTTTTTTATGCCTTATTTTGAAAAACAGGTTTTTCAACAAGAACAGTTTTCACTTCAAGTCCCCCTATTTAGCATTTCTAAGCAGTACATAAACATTTAATAAGTAGCTTATAACAGACAAGAATGTAACTAAGCAGATACAGTATGTGTTAATTAATGTATATGTCAGCAACTGTAACTCCTGAAAGTGGAGGCTGGGCGTATAAACAGATAATTCATGACAATACGCTAAAACACAAAAAACTGTTAGTTGAAATTGTTTGTTGAGTTGTTTACAAATACACGGTTAAAAACTATCCTCATATGTGTGTACAATCACATTATAGTTAGTTACAAACCATTTATTAAATGTTTGTATAATTATATATGCTAAATAGGAGGACCTAAAGTAAAAGGTTATAGATAAAGTAAAGTCAAAGCCAAACTACTAAGTTACTCTTAAAAATGACTTTACAGTTTACAATACTTGCTGCTATAGACACAATTCAGTTGTTATTGAAAAACTACAGAGGTTAAAGGTCAGTGTAGACTCATAAGGGAATAAGGGACATTAACTGTTTCTCATGCCCTCAATCTGATCGTAAAGAGTGAAGGATACTGTTTTTCATTTGCATGTGCTTACCACACACTGGCATGTTGAAGCGGGTGGGAAGCCTCACTGAAAAGGGTGCTGCACTTTTCCCCACACTGAACCCTGGTGTAACAAACCAACCCCTCGATGAAAACAGTTTGCACAAAATAGGTTTCAGTATTGATGCCGAAATTCAAGTATCGTATCGGAACTAGAATACCCAGCCCTAACTGCAGTTAATGGGCTGCCATTTACCAGTAACAGTGACACATTAGTCACATCCTTGTATTTATATTTGCTAACTCAAAGAATAAAATATGAACAGCACAATTGCAAAGCAAGAGTGGTTGCAATGGTCATGTTTTGGAGCCATTTACCCAGGTACCAGCTGTTTCAGCAGATTCAAAACAATGCAGCACTGTTAAAGACTAGAAACCAGCCATGACCTATAACTCAAGTTAGATACATGCTGTAATTACTGTACATACAGTACGAAAACTTCCACCACCAACAGTAACAGCTGTTATACCTGCTCTTTATACAGATGTTAAAAATGGCAGGATTGGCCAAGAGGCAGCAAGGATTAAAAGGAAAAAATAGATTCATTCAAATGAGATAGACTGAGACGGACAACTTTTGCTACCTAAACATCCAACCTGCATACAAAGTATGGCGCTCCGGGACAGAAACTGCAGCACAGATGAAAGTGTTGGAATTAAAAAGTGTAGAAGAATCAGAGAGAGAAGGGTGGGGAGGGGGAATGGGGCTTTCTAGCAATGAAAGATTCTGGCCGCTTTCTGAAACTGCCCCTAATCCTCTGTTAACTCCATTACATGTGGGACACTTCTGTGATAAGCCCAACAATAGCGAGGAGAGCCCATTCCAAATACCATCACATTGCAGGCGCACTTTAACACAATTATTAACAAACACAAAAAAGGGCAGCCGCTGTATTTTGGGGGGAAACAATTTCAATTTTAGATATGGGCTTGAGACGAAAACTGGGCCACTGCAAGCTTTGATGTCTTAATTGTGTGTGTGTGTGTGTGTGTGTGTGTGTGTGTGTGTGTGTGTGTGTGTGTGTGTGTGTGTGTGTGTGTGTGTGTGTTGTGTGTTTTTTTTTTTTTTACACCAAAGAAACTGAGGCTTATTGATGGATCAAAAGCAACAGAGACAGAGAGAGGAAATGGAGATGGAGTGAAAGAGACAAGAAATAAAAAAAAACAAGAAAGGGAAAAAAAAAGAGGAAAAAGGACAGCCAGAGGAGAAGAAGAATGAAGGGATAGAGAGGAAAGTGAGATATGGCGGGAGAGAGTGACAAATGTGCCTTAGATATAGAAGAAAGAGTGACAGAGCTGAAGTTCTGTGGAATCCCAGCTGAATAGGCCTTGATTAACTGTGGCATGGGGTCAAAGCAGGGCTTCAGTCTGCTGGGGCCTGGCTTAGGAAAATTATATGTATGCCTGTGTGAGTGCAAGCGACTGTAATTTGCACTTCTGAGACATGTGAATACAGTTTGTAAGACATGATATGCATCCGTTTGTCTGGTTAGGTTAGGGCAACTGTGTTTCTGTGTGGATTTGAGAGTGAATACACAGTAAAACCCCATGGAACTGTATTGGTATCGGCCCATAATTTTCCAATCGCTGTATTCCTTGTTTTTTTTTTTTTGTTTGTTTTTTTTTCCTAATCTTTGGACATAGGCTGGCTAGCTGTTTCCTCTTGCTTCCAATCTTTATGCTAAGCTAAGCTAACCATCATGCGACTATGGCATCGTATTTAATGGTCATAATGGAGAGAGGTATCTCATCTAACTTTTGGTAAGAAAATGAACAAGCATGATTTTTCAGCTGTTCTTTTAAAAGATTTACACTCTAAAATGTAATTTATATTAGGCATCTAGCAGAAGCTACTAATGTTCAGGGACTGTATTGATTTACTAGGTGAAATTTAAACATATCAGACATCAATGTCAATCAGATGTCAACAGAAGTGGAGAAATAAATATTGTTGTTGGTTAATCTTGTGTTGTTAGTATAAGTAGTAGAAAACCTGGAATAAAACTCCTTTGCACATAATATAATTGTAAACCTACATGAACACAGATGGGTAACTTCAAACTAACATGTACTACACAAACTAATGTACATGCCTTCTTTCCAAAATGAGTGAAACATGGCCCATGAAGGGTTTTTCAATACCTTCTAGGTGCTGTTGCACAGGAGAAATTGACTTAAAAACACTCAGAGCTCTCATAGTCTGTCTAACTTGTAATTAATGAGGTCAAATTCATAAACTCCCATAGCCTTGCCACAGTGGTTACAGGTTTGTCCATGTGTTTGCTGTCATGAATATAAATGTTTATATTTGTGTTTGTGCATGCACATACAATTGTTGTGGTTGGGAAATAAATATGCATTTATGAGAGATCTTTTGAATGTTTTACAAAATCTTTACCTCAAACTCAAGGTTATTTTCTATGGTTTTTTGAAGATACAATGATCTGACTGTAGAAAATATACTTTCAAAAGTGTGTGTGTGTGTGTGTGTGTGTGTGTGTGTGTGTGTGTGTGTGTGTGTGTGTGTGTGTGTGTGTGTGTGTGTGTGTGTGTGTACATATGCACAGTGTGAATCTGTCACAGGCCTCACCTGGGGGCTTACACTGGGGCCGTAGCCCATGCCGGGCGAGTTCATGGAGTGGGGACCCATGGGCGAGCTGATGACGGAGAAGGGTGAGGCCAGGCCGTTCATGGGCGAACTCAGCGTGCTGATGGGAGAGTGAAGAGAGCCAGAGGGCCCCATGGACGTTGGGCTGAGCAGAGATGGGTGCATTCCCCGGTGGGACGTGGGCGAGCCCAGGGGCGAGGAGGTCAACTGGCCCGACGAGTCTGTCCGGAAAAATGACAAAAAAAGGAAATTAGAATGAACTCTTGATTGGTTGTTGAAGTAATATTTTTTTTATCATTTTCACTGCTATCATTTATTATAAAATCTCTACAGATTTAGTCAGCATCAGATCGTTTTTGATTAAGAAAAACCTTCCCGCTCAAACTCACCAAGTATTTAAAACCCGAGGCACATTCAGACTATGTAATTTCAATATAAACCATGTTGTTCACATAAAACCTTTAGATTTTTCAAGAGGCCGTTTTCACACTACAGCTAATTTTAAGTTGTTGGCACCAAGAATCCAGCACATCTGGTGAAGTGTGAAAGCAATTGTTGAATCTGAGTGCAGTCCAGGAAAATGGACAATTCAGCAAAAACACTTGAGACAATAAAATCAGCTTGAGAGCAAAGCCTAACATGCGAGTCGATGGAGGCCGACTATGATGTCCACTCCGTAGTTCTCTTGCTCGCTCCTGCACCGCTTCTGCCCCTCCTTGAGTTTCCGTTGTCAGAAGTGCTTCCCTCTGGGATCTTTGAGGACAGGATGTATATCTATAATGTATGTGGTTGATGAGTGCAGTACTGGGCCCAGGAGGATTGCATATACAACCTTGAACTAGAGGCTGAGGGGAAATCTGCAGTGAGATTGAAGTCAGAGGGAGGGATGAGGATAAGGTTGTGTACTGTACAAGAGCTCATGTGCTCTTTCTGTCTTTCTTCTCCCGCCTAGACGTCGTCCTGCTCTTTACCTCAACTGAGCGGGGCCATCAGCTGTCAACACAGAAGATATGAGGCAGGCAGGAGTGCGAGCAAAGAAGGAGGGGTACTCTGGTATGTGAGAATTTGGCGACAGGGTTGTATGTGTGCTGATAACTCCCTCACTCCCTGTCTCGTCTTTCACCACAGCCTTTCACCGTCTCTTACTCTTTATTTATGATTATCTCTGTCTTTCCTTCCCTTTGCCTCTTTTCTCTGTCCCTCTATTTCTGCCTCATCTGAACATCATGAAAGAGGGTTTTGCACATTTGAGCAATTTCTTACTCATTACACTTGTTTTTAAATCTGAAACAAGTGGTTGATCAACAGAAAATTCATCTACAATTATTAAACAATTCTATAAAAATAAAAAATTTAAATTAAACAAACTGACAAACATTTCATAGTTTTGGCTTCTCAAACGTGAAGATTTGCTGCTTTTCCATAGATCGAATATCTTGGTTTTAAGACAAAACAAGACATCTGAAGACGCCATTATGGATTCGAGAAAACATAATGAAAACAAACCTTAGTTGCAGCTCTAATTATTTTTCTACCTCAAGGTGGAATCTGCATCAGTGTGATGAACCATCATTTTCAGGACTTTAACATTCCCACCTGGCTATTTTATCTATCAACTGTGTCTCAGTTCAATTTCCAGAAATAGTACACCCCGTAAAAATGATATACGCTGGTACAATGCATCCTAATGGCTCAATCCTACAGCTGACGTACGGCCGCTTAGGTTCTCTCCTCTGATGAGTGCTTTGTCCCGACATACCCTCTTATACCCTGTCCTATTCTGACACCACAACTTTGCTCTCCCCGCAGTGGGGACATAGACTAGTTATGCAATAAGTGGGCTTGTCTATCACACTCCCCCGTTTCATAAGTGGTCACCAGGTTCCTCTGTTTCCGCTCCGTGGAATAAAACTGACGGATGGCTCAATTAGTTGACAGCTGCGAGTAAAGAGTCCAGTTCACAGCAATTTTCCTGGTGTGCATCGTCTCTGTCCAAGCTGACTTTACATGATTTTTAGGTTTTTTTCTGCGTGTATGTGTTGTTTGTGCATGTGTTCCTGTTGTAAAATGTCTTGTGAATGCAGGAAAAAAAGGAGTCTGTGCATCTTTGTCCCCTGCATCAGCAATCCTCAGGATAGCAACCTAGCTGGCAGCTCAGCCAAGCCAAACACTTCCTGCACATCCTGCTCGCCCAACGAGCACTTCCTGTAAGCACACACACACATATACACACATGGGCCCCATACTTTTCAAAACAAACACACATCCTTCTTAATAAAGGGCTAACAACAGCTCTCCATCTAGCTGTATTAGTTTGGCGTTTAATCCTCTGACTGATATCCCTCGAGCTTCTATCCCTCTGATTACATTTTTTTCTTTCCTAAAATGCGCCCACACACATAATTCCTGAAAAATAAAATAAATAAATAAAACGCTTTCCCTGAGCCAACAATTCCCATAACCCTTCGCCAATTGGGTTTTAATTCAGGCAGATAAAGCGAGCTGGGGTATTAAGGTTGCCAATCTGCCATTGTAGGTCTCAGCAGGGGGGAGCTCAGCTGACAGTCCCAGCAAGGCCCCAACCTCGAGGGGGGTGACACAGACAGGCTGGGAGGTAGATCAGACAGTTTATGTCTCTTTCTCTCCCATTCATTCCTCTTGTCTCTCTCTCCTACCTTTTTTTTTTGGAGAAGCGGAACAACTGGAGTAGAAAATCTACTGAAAAAATCTGACATCATCAACAACTCCCTGATGCTCTTTTTCCAGATGAACATGAAGTAAACTATGGGGCCATGTGGTAATATTGTATGTGAAGATATAGATGCCTCACAGCAAAATGTGTGTGTGTGTGTGTGTGTGTGTGTGTGTGTGTGTGTGTGTGTGTGTGTGAGTGAGTGTGTGAGAGAGAGAGAGAGAGAGAGAGAGAGAGAGAGAGAGAGAGAGAGAGAGAGTGAGAGTGTGTATGTTTATTCTTGTTAGAGTTGGGTTGCCAGTATAGGATTACAGCAGGATGAAAAGGACTCTGTCCTAATCTTCCCCAGAGAGGAGGAGAGGAGAGGAGAGGAGAGGATAGACTGAAAAGACATTGAGAACAAGGAGAAGAGAGAAAATGAAACAAGGAGAGGAAAGGAGAATATAGAAAAGGTATATAAGGGGGAGGAGGAATTGAAAAGATGTACGGGGAAAGGAGAGCAGCATAGAAGAGAAGAGAGGAGCGGAGAAAACGGGAGGAGGGCAGGAACTGAAAAGGCGTGCAAGGAGATAAGAGGAAAGTTAAGAAGAAGAGGAGATGAGTGGAGATGAGGAGAAGAGGAGAGAAAAGGAATGGACAAGAGGAGGATAAATGATAACACAAGACAGGACTGGAAAGTTAAGGAAAAGACAGGCCAATGCAAAAGAAAAAAAGAAAAGATAAAGTTAGTGTCACATTAACACTTCTGCCTGTATTTCTGTTGAACCTGTTGAACTCGAAAAGGTAAACTGTTTTACCAATAGTCTTGGCTATGCGGACAGCTTGAATTGGATAAGAGTGTGTATAAAGCAGATCAGTGAGCGAGGGCAGGCCACAGGGAATAAAAATTATTGAAGCATCCAAGAAATGAGTTGAAGCCGCCCAGGTTCTCTGCGTGCCCATATACAAAAAAGATTGACTCGCGTTTAGATAGGGGCTGAAAAGTGCTTCTGAGCCTCTGCCTGTCTATTGGCCTGGATCGCTGGGCCCACAAAAGCACAACTGACAGCTACAAATAAGCAAATTAGGACCCATCTTACCGGCAGGCGCAGACAGATTTCACCACTTATCACTTCTGTACTCCATACAAGCATCTCCTATTTCTAAACAATGCTTCCCCCCCTCACTCTCTCGCCTTTCTTGCTCTTTTGTTTCACCGTTGGGTGTGATCACACGGAGGAAATTTGCCAATTTGTGTTCTGGCAGTGGCTGGTTTGTGCATTTAGAATATGATGAATGGATGATTGAGATGAGAGTGGATGATGAGATGAAAAGAGACGGTTCGCAACAGAACAGCGGACGGCGAATCTTCAAACGCTTGACACTACCTGTGTTTACATTTTTCTGACAGGTGATCAGTTGCGGCTGTGATTAATGACCGTCCTGACCGGGAAAAGCTGTCATTTGTTCAGCAGCAAAGGCGGAAACACCGTTAAGTGGCACAAATTTGTTCGTAATGAAAGCGACAGGACTTTTAGAGGCATCATGATTGCCAGGAAAAGAATGGTTTGGGCGCAGTGTGTCTAGGCAGCACCATTTGCGGCAAAAGAAGTTACTAGTAACTAAGGATTAAAGATAAAATCCACCTCAAGCTTAGCTTAAAAGCCCTTTTTTTTGCCACCACACTTAATTGGTGTGGCTGGTTGGGCATGCAACTAGCGTGCCGGAAGCTACAGTTTACATGTGGTCACCTTCTACCGTCAACATTGTTTTCTTTTACCCATGAGGCTGAGCATCTGGTAACTTTAACCAATAAGTTTTAGTTGCCTAAACTTAACCGAGCACTGGTGGCAGATCAGAAAGCGCTCATGTGAATCATGTTCCCAACTGTCCTGTGGGTTGTTTTGGGAGGCAGTGACAAACTATTCTGCTATTTAGGTATAAGGTCATGTTGAGTGAAAAGCTAGTGAAGTGGAAGAGGAGGACGGTCTGTGGTTTCTATAGTTACACTGAGTCCCTGATACTCTGATTGTTGGCAGGGGGGAGCATGTCCTGAAGGAGCACAGCGGAGGGTGCACTGTTTATCAGCTAAACAGACCCTGTGATGAAAGGTGAAAGGCTGTGGAGGGCCTCTGTAACAGAAAGCAACCTGACTTTCCATCTCTCCTTACTTCTTTTTGTCCGTCATTTAAAACCTCTGCGTGAGTCAAGTGAGGCACGAGGCTCGACTGATAAAAGGGGACAACATTTGCTCGATCGCTGTGGTGTTGTTTGAAACAGAGACTCTGATTTGGCAGAGATGGTTTGTAGTTCCTGTGTGTCAAGATAAAAATTACAGGACGGGCAATGATTAATGTGACAAAAAAGAAGAAAGATTAGTACGTCTGCGCCATATAATGATGTTTATTTAGGCCTTTATAAAAGCCCTATGTTATTACAAGCTTAATCTAGTTTTTAATTGGTTTACATATTGGCTATCTGAAATGTAGCCCGTGTTTTCTCTAGTTTCTGACTTTGTGTTTTGTGTATTTCTGTGCACATGAGGTACAG